CTGGCCTGTATCAGACAGCTCAATGCTTGTCACAAAACTTCATCTGTGCAAAGTTGCCAAGTGTTTGTCACAAAGTTTAGTCTGTGCCTGGCAGCTCGACACGTTTCTCTCATTACAGTCATTAGGGCTACAACGGTAAAAATTTTTATATTTTCAGGTGACTGAATGTACTGATACCACCCCAGGCTCTATGCGCATGCGCAAACAGCATGATGCGTCTTTATAACTGGATATACTCTTTTGGTCTAGGTTTTATAAACAGGTTAAAATTAAGCAAGATCTGCTTTATGATTTTGTAATAATATTCTACATGATTTACACTGCTAATGTGAACAACAACAACAAGAAACATTAATTCAGTACATCCTCTACTTACGTTTGTTTACGTCAATGTTATGAATAACTTTTGTGCACTTTACAATAGCCTAAGGCTAAACCAAAATGGATGTTTTAAAGTTGTTATCTTAACATTTCTTTAATGATCTCCATTCGTTCAACAGACTCCAGACAGACACATAGGACTATCATAATAGGGAGGGTCGCAAACGTCATAAAAAACCCTCATCACATCCACTGGGTATATCAATTCCTTAAATAGTTAATTGCACTAACCGTTGCAGCCCTTGCCACGAAGCTCACGGATTTCACTGTGTATCGAGGAGCTCACTGTGTATTATGAAGCTCACTGTACCGTGAGGCTCACTATATATCACGAAGCTCACTATGTATCACGAAACTTACTGTATCATGATGCTCACGGTGTGTCGCAGAGCTCACTGTGTGTTACAACGTGTCATGAACGTTATGTGTGTCACGAGCTCAGTGCGTGTCATGGAGCTTACTATACCGTTGAACTCAATATGAACATGTATAAAGGAGCTCACACTATCAATGAGGTCAGGGTATTTCGCAAAGCTCAAGTTTGCAGCACGAAGCTCTTTGCTTCATAACATTCCTTAACCGAGGCTTAGCAAGTGTTAATCGTACAAAGTTCAGTGGAAAAAATCAGGGGCAGTTGTGCGTCACGTAGACGTGTGTCCGAGACAAGTGTCACAGGTAACAAAGAACAGTTTTTGAGACACTGTCTCAGGAAGTAGTACTAGGATAATCTACATACATAAAATAAAGTCTACCATTCTAACATCATCAAAAGAAATATATAGTATACTTATTACATAGTGTATAACAGTATGTACATAGGTTTATTACTATATATAGCACATCCTACTGTATAAATTTGTGTTGAGCTAGGGATATATTTTAATTGATAATGAAAAATTTCTAAAAAAAAAAAAGGATACAAGCAACACACAGAGATAAGAACCGTAAAATGAACTGGGCCAACATTTGGAGTATCGTATTTGATTGCTGGTATGAAACTTGACATATAAGCAAGAACGTGCCTTATCCATTTCTTACAAAACAGACTGTTCGCCAATCAAAAACATATTTTCACTGAAATAATCGTGATTGTTTAAAAGTAATTTACAACAAAAAAATTATCATGAATTGAGTAAGTACTCATTCCGTTTGTTTTTTTTCATTCCGCAATATGATAAAAACCAGTTTCGTTCTAATTTGCAACAAATGAGCTGACAGAGCACTACCGTAATTAACATCGTGGTAAGATATATCTGGGTCATTTTTACAGTACCTCGGTCATAAAATGTTCTACTTATCATATTTTGTGTTAACTAAGTGAGAAGACATGATGAGGTGTCAGATGAGTATGTTTATTACCCGGAACAAGCCACATGTTAAGTGGTAGCTATTGGCACGACCATGAAATACTAAGCAAAGTTTTCCCTCGTAAATAACGTATTTAATATTAACGATCCTAGATATAATTATCAAAATTACTTAATAATTTATCTATTTATTTCATTTTTCTACAGAATATAAAAGAGAAAAAAACACACACACAAACAATAAATGGTTGCTGTTTTACAAAGTACACGTGCGAGCTCAATTTGCCTCACTCGAATTAGCATATCCACCGATGTACAACGTTATGCCTCACTCTGCCAAAACGTGTATGTGTTTCGACCGTAAATGAGATAATTAAGTAAATGAATCAAAAAACAACTAATTGGGATCAGAGCTCTACTCTACATACATAATCAGTATGTCAGTCTTATTGTAATATGACACCACCGACCTACTCTTTGTAAAAATAGAGAGGAGTTTAACAACCTTTGTAAATGCCACTATAAAAAAAATTATATCTAGCTGTCGCATCGTAATTATTACAAGATCTTAATTCTTATCCTAAGGGGAAACAACTGAAAGAAAGACTGGGGAGATGTCTTAGGTAGTGGTACGCTGTCTGTAAATGCAGCTGAACCTGTTCCTAAATGCCAGTCCAAACTCCAGAGAACAAGATGTTCTTTATACAGAGGTTCAATTACTGAATCATTTTCGTTACATTACAATTAATTCATCTGTGTGCAAATTATAATCCGGATATATGAATAATATGGATACCTGTTCATTCTCATAATTTTTTATTCGGAAATTGGTACAAGTCCGGACAATTAATGTGGATAGTGTTTGCATTTAGCGGTATTAAGCTCTTTATATCAGCTATTGACACAGTAAGGCCACAGCGGTGACGGTCTTCAAACACGGACTCTTGAACAATGTTAATCACGTTACTACATTTCGTTTGTAATTGACTCGACAAACTTCGCTAGACCCATTATCAGCGCTTCTCATTTTAATACGCGTAATGATATGTAGATGGATTGTTTGCATGAAACCTTCCGCGATATAAAGTTCTTTCAAAATTTGAGTCTTTTAACGTTTACATCCAGGGAACAGGATGTTTAATGAAGTTATCAGTGAAAACGTTTGAGTATGAATATGATATATAAGCCAAACCCATCTTAGTAACTGTGTACATCACAGATACCAGCCGATCCAACACAAATTATTATTATCTTTCTGTACAGTCTAGTTTTCTCTGCTCCCTTGAGTAGTCCATTATAGAAAGGTTTAATTGTGCATAAAACAGTAAAATTTATATTTGTTTTGGTATATATACGCTTGAAACTATTAGCGTTTTTATATTCAATCATATTTTTAAAAAAATTATTTAACTATTTTTTTCAGAACCATTTAATATCGTTTTGGGATATTCCCTTTGTGTATTCTAGGAGAACAGTTCTGACAGAATCCTTATCGAGTTCCCCATTGGTTGATAATGCGGCTTATATAAATATGGAATTAGGTTTTAGGTACGGATTAGGGATAACAGCTTACGCGCATGGAAATTCCGTTGTTGTCTTAAAGTGTCATATAGCTTATACTCTTGTAAACCTTATCAAAATTACAAAGTTGCAAAAATTTCGGTACGCTTAAACGATATGATGATATGGGAAATTTTCACCTGGGGTTTTAATGACGATCCAATACTCGATGCGTTTGTACTTTTGCAACATGCATAGTTACCCAAGTGCTACAACATATAGAGAGAGCTCAGTATCCGACAAACCTGTCTTAACCTTATCTGTGTTGGCGGGCCATTGTTGACGAGTCTATAACGCATTCAAAATCCACAACCGCATTCAAATTTATTACCACAAATATTAATATTTTCTCTTTTATATTTTTAAAAGATATTTTTCTTGTTTTGTAATAATATTTCAAATACAAGTTGACAGACTTACATTAAGTAATGATCATGACCGAGAATAAAAGAATGTTGAGAAACTGTTTGTTTTTACGTTACGGAGAATAACTACATTTGATCTTCGGTAAATATTACGTAAATTACTTCAATTTTTCTTTACAAACAGCATCACATTAACTTAGTCTCAAATTATTGTTAATTCCAGCACATTTTAGATTTTTTTTTATCACAAGTCAATTCTATACTGTTTGTTTGTACCTAAAAGGTAGATGGTTTCACATATATACCATGTGACGAGTTTCACTTGAGTAATTTCTACTCTCTGTGTGTGCTTGTTTAAAAAAAATACGGTCAATTTCCCACACATGAAATGTTGCTTGGAAATTTGAAAAGAAAAGCCGAGAGAAAATTCATTATTTTTAACCATTTGACTTTTCAAAGTTTTAAACCTTTTCAGATGGAATTCAACACATTTATAAATAAATAAATAATATTTTTTACATATTTGATACAGAAAAAAAAACGAAAAGAAAAAGTAAACAAAAAGAACAGAAGTTCACACGTTCTTTCTGTGTAAGCGTCCCATTAATCACATGGATTCAACTTGCAGGTGCTCATATAGATGACAGTAAATAAATATATGTTTCGTGTATGTTATGATATACAAAAGTACTGATGTACACATCAGCTAACGATTACAAAGATAATCAGCCAGCCTCCGCAGAGTCGTTCCAACAGTTGGACACAGTCGCCGAATTGAGCGTAAGTCAAAAAACTCACATACAGTTACTGCCTTCCATCACGAAATGAACATGAAAAATAAATTACAATTTATGGGACGTGGAAGCACGGGCGGCAGTATGACGTCACGGGCGGCCGAATGACGTATGCTACAGTAGTTTAAAATAGTAATGAAGTTTAGATGGAATGTTATATGGTATCCAGTTCTATAACAAATCTTCTCAAAATAAAGTTATCAAAATATCATTCGAAAATATATATTATATATATATCATATATGTTTACAGCAACGGTGTGAGAAATAGGGTGATTTTTTCACATCCTTACGTGGCCTGGCGGGTTTTTTTTCACGATCAGAATATTGTGTCAATCCGCAAACATGACGAGCACCAAAATAATCCCAAATAGAAAATCTCATGAAATGCCTTCTGAGCCGTGTTGATGGCTTATAGGTCACATCCCTTTCTCAAAACACATGGGATGACCACGCCCCTTCTCCTGACACACGGGGTCACGCCCCTCCTACCAACACATAGGGCCATCGTATGGATGAAAACCATGACGTAACAACGAGACTGACGAATACATTTTAGCACGTTAAGTTCCCGTCTCCAGAAAACTGCCAAATTTAATCGCTAACACTTCCAAGCGATTCTTGCATATCGTAGTTATCATCGACCTCCACGTTATCATTGTCAGTACACTGATTTGGAATGGGTTCCAACTCATCGGAAGAGTCCATATCCTCGATATTGTTAATTTTAGCCTTCTCGAAGGCATATGGTCCTTTTTCCCCTCGGAACTCGCATATAACGTTGGTTAGAGCTTTGATGTAGTTTTTGGCTAATGTGAGGGTTTCTATTTTAGATAATTTTCTTTCCAACTCAACATGTGGAATCACTTCTCTCAAATCCTGGAATGCATCATTTAAAGAATGCATGCGCATGCGTTCACGTTCATTGCTTTCTATTCTACGTATATTGCGTTCCCGAGCACTTACACCCTTTCTCCGTCGGGATGATTTTTTAGGGCTCTTCAATTTCCGGTCACCTGACTCCTCTGTAGTGGAACTTCCGCCGGAATCCGAAGGGGACCCAGGCCCTTGTTTAAAAGGCCGTTTCCGAATGTGGTAGTCACTAGCTCGCAGCCCTGGAACATCCCAGTAACTATCTGTTGGTTGGTCACCTTCTGTCATATCAAAGTCACAGGACGACCTAACGTCCTCAATCAACGAACGCATCACCTGAAACAGAAGCCAAAGCATCATGTGAGTCCTGTTACTCTAAACGATAATTTTCTTTCCATATATGGGTTTGTTTATTTTAATGCCTTACAAAATAAATATCCCAATAATCAAAGAAAAAGAATATAAAATGGAAAAAATATTGACCTTCCATCTATCGATGATATAAATTGTTTTACTAATAATTATTTCTTCAAAGTTATACTTAATAGTGGACTTAAACAAGGATACATTCTCCAAACGCCATCTCAGCACAATGTAATGGTGTCAGGTTATGGCAAATATTCACATAGGAAATAGAGAAATGTAGTTCAAACGAACTAATTATTCAATTTCGTTTACATGCTATGATGAATCATTAAGCTCCCGACAGTAAACGTCTGGGTGACCTAGTCTGAATATGCACGTGCACTACAATGCATGCTTTACTGAACGTCGTCTGAGTATTTTAACATTCCAATATTCGCGTTTCATGATGTAGTTTTCCAATTACTAATGCTTCCTTTTTTTGTTTATTTAACATGTAATCTGTTCGACTGTCTCGATATCAACTAATTCTTTACTAAGTGATGGCAAACTACGCAGTATACGTGCATCTTCAGCGAAGCATGAACCGCAGCAACATCAACCTTGTTACAGGTCTGGGTGTATATGTTCTTTTTTCAACCTTTTAAATATGTTGACTTTTGAATGTATGATCCATCGGTTTAATGTTGAATGTTGTTGCCTTCACAATAAGCAAGATCAATCGAATCAGGTGATTTTGAATTATTGTACAAACTCTGACTATAAAACGAACAGAGCTAAGCTCGAGAGACTTCAAAGGTTATACTGTACCAAAGCTCTTTAATGCACAGTAAAAAAAAACCCTTCCTTTATAGTATTAAAACGTCACCGTATTTTAGAAATGAAAATCCGTGCTCCTTTTCTTTACAATATAACACCGAACATTCGGGACCATGATAAGTTAATCTGTTTGTTGAATTTATCGCTCCGTGAACATCCAATGTTATTTTGAGGTAAGGTCTGTCAGAAGTTTAGCTGGTGGCTACCACACTGAACAACATACGAGAGGCCCGTCACATATCATATATAAACAATGAGTGCCAGTCTCATCTTCCACAGAGAAACAAACCACCATCACGGTTAGGTAGTGTTGAACAATGCACCTCGGATCTTCACCTGAGATTGCGTAGATCAACACTTAAATCGTTGGAGCTATCACAGCCCTGGCGGTTAGTTCTAAAATTATAAATAATGCGAATTTAGATGAACCTATCAGGACTAAGTGGATCAAAACCCTGTACGGGGCGGTATGTATCCCATATGAAGTCGATATCACGGATCGTTAATCCCGTTCATAGTTATGTCCGTGGACAAGAACACATTAATCCAATTGTTCTGGATACCAACAAATGGGCCTCCTGCATGATGTTCACTTAAGACGCCAACAGCTGCTACATCGGTACCACTACTTAAAATTACATTTTCTTTTCAGGGAGCGATAAATCCAGAACAAAAAAAAAACCTGAGTTACTTCATAAAACCTTACCACAAATGTGTTGAAATGCTGACCTAAATTGTATCAACCTGAACGCTGATCCAGAGTAACCTGTTCTATATTTAACCATTAAAATGCCTACGGTGTTGCGAGGGTTATTCCGGGGGAGTCATTTGGCCTTTTGTTTACTCAGCACGTCGATGTAATGGCGGTGTGTTTGCTTACGTGTGGACCACCAGCATCATAATTGTGACAGCACACGGTAAAACACTCCAGTCAAACAGACAACCTTCCTCAATTGTTTAGTATACGATTACATAGCGATGTTATGAATTATTTCAGGCCGTGAAGTCAAATGCTTTGTCACGATATCTGGTGAAACTGTGTTTACAGTGCTACACAAGTTCAACAGAAACACTGTTTTTGTACACGCTTCAATACAGTGGCAATCTTTACTATTATTACACAATTCTATCACAATTTACCACTGATCAAGTTTGTTAAAATACGTCGTTTTCTGTCGCTCGTGTAGACATGTAAACAACACTGCTATCGTTTGTTGTTCGTCAAGACGTGTCAACATTGCTATCGTTTTCTGTCGTTCGTGTAGACATGTAAACAACGCTGCTGTCGTTTTCTGTCGCTCGTGTAGACATGTAAACAACACTGCTATCGTTTTCTGTCGCTCGTGTAGACATGTCAACATTTAAGACATGTCGACATTTTTATCATTTCTTGTCGCTCGTGTAGACATGTTAACAACACTGCTATCTTTTTCTGTCGCTCGTCAAGACATGTCAACAATTAAGACATGTCGACATCAATATCTTTCCTGTCGTTCTGACATATCCTGTTATTCGTCTGAGTATGTCAACGTTTCAAGCATACATTATTACCATCCGTCGTGACTTATCAACTTCTATACGCAGTCTACCGTTGTATTCGTAGTCGATGGTTCACCGACACGTATAACTGAATAATCGATGACCACATCTGTTTTTATGGTAGTTTCGAATAATTACATTTAATACGAAACAGGTCGTTATGGCTTTCGATTATATATATATATTTGTATGTGTGACATCGGTTTCAAATGTACACATTATCGACCGGGAAAATATTCTAGTGTTTTATAGCAAAATTTCTCCTTCGATAGGCGTAATGTCTTATAGCGTTCATACAATGATGAACTCCGTAAACAACGTGATCTGAGTAGATCTTATCTGCTAAATACGGCTAAAGATAAAGGGCCAGAGAAATGCGCTCGGGTCCATCTCCTCGATTAGGAATAGAAAAACACCACACGTGCATTTACCAAGAAAAACGCGTGCGATCCTAAAAACCGTGGTCTGGTAGTCGTTTCGCCTTTTTGCACTTTATTTCCTACGGTCAATGAAGTTAGCTGTTTATCAACCGGCAAAATGCCACAGAATTTTACAGTCAAATGTTGAGTAAAGTTTTACATTTCCCTCTTATCGGAATTGCTGGACTTATCTTAGCCTACATGAACAGATGTTGGTCTCCACGGTCGATACACTAATCAGCTAAACATGGGGCAGTATATACATATATACATTTATGGACTATGTTGATCTGGCCCCCCTCCCCTTCCCCGCCCCCCCCTCCCCCCCCCCCCCCAAAAAAAGAAAGAAAATTGGCCTTACAGACAAATTCCGAAAATGGATGCTCAATTTCACCGCAGACAAACGATATTGACAAGTTTTCTCCGCTCCATCGGTTTCTATAACTAGCCTATTGTGTGACGTAGGAGTTTGATTTGGTGGTCACTATCACACCTCATCCATGGCTCTTTCCAGATCAAGTGACACTGACAGATTGACCAAGGATCCATTGCTTCTTTCTCACTTACGGCATCACTTATGGTACAAGTCGCGTCCATCACCGACATGTGTATCATCACTCAAACACGACAAGGAGCCGAATGGATTTAACAAAGACTGAACAATATCGGATCCCTTGACAAATAGATCCTATAATATGAGGAGAGAATTTCCGACTTGGAAAAATTAGGAAAATGGATATTTTCTTATACAAAAAATCTCGAACTGAAGCAGGGGAAAAGGATCTAGTTCCAACCATCCATGTTTTCCCTATTTTAGACCATTTATCTATTTAAAAGACGGTTAATTTTCAATCCGGGGACGGGAACGGGGAGGAGGGGGTTCTTATTCTTTTATTTCATTATCCATAAAAAAAACACTGCTATGTAAGATATCGGACAGGTAACACGGTATTTAAACCAATGTCTCCACATTTTGGCTTGTCTCTACATCTGCAGTGAATGTGGACATCTACAACCGTGCGTTAACACGATGCAAGTTAGTACATTATAGATTCAAATATGTCTAAACTGAAATAGCTTACTTATTATTGTGAGTCTTCTAGAACTGTATTAATACCTGAAAAACATTCCAGGTTTACTGAAACTTTTCTTTTCAACCAAAGGCCTAACATATTCTGCATCATGCATTCAGCAAAACCGACTTATTTGAGAAATCTTGCTAATTTTTGAGTGTATACTTCAAAACTTAAAAATGCACCTGTTCACACTATGTGCATATTTTCCATAGTGTCAATCTGTCCGTCTGCTGTCTCACAGCAAAACTAGTTTTAATTGTGTCGGTTTTTTTCCCTCCGGAATTTGTACACCGTCAGTCGGTGGCTTTGCCTTCCTTCATTAGTTTCTCATTAGCCATACGTCATTGTCTCTGTTATTTATCTGCTTTGAATGCACTGTGTATTTCAGCGTTTATTCAAAGCTTCTAAGTGACCTTACCCAGTCAGAATTATACTAATGAGAAATCACTGTGGCCTACATATCGGCCCTACTCAATATTGTGTTCAGTGAACAGATATGCGTATTAAACAGTGAAAGAATTATCACCTCAATTATTTTGTAATTACATACACATTTCACAATAAAAGAACACTTGTTTTTTAGCCAAGGGACGGGAACTTGTGTGTGTGAGTGGAGGGGGTGAGGGTGGTGGGGGGAGAGATTGACGCAAAACCGATGTGTTTTATATTACAACAACCCGGCCCACCAGTCAAGCAAAAATCTCCTTTAGCATGAATTACCCTTGATATTCTATTCCGAAGGGACCCACATCAGTCGCGGTAAACTCTGATCCAATAGATTTTATTTATTTTAAGCAGACCAATGTCAATGTCAAACCATTTTAGCTGATTTGTCATTCTATAATACAGTTAGTTTATCAAATCTGTGCCATATATTCCAGTAGAGTTTCACATTCGTCTGGTCTTTATTACAGCAAATTATCGGAATAGGCTACTCGTGTAAATTACAAAATAGCATGTACGGTCTAAATCACTACTGTGCTGTAGGCTGACTGAATAAGGGAACGGGGTGAGAGGGGGGAGGAGGGGGGGGGTGAAAGTAAGGCCCCGGGGTTGATGAAGAGCTATAGGAAAAGGTTATTAACCCGGGGGAAGGTAACATCAGAAGAATGACAAC